TTAAATTGACGACAGATGGCGGCAGACTCACATGCGGATGCGCACGCAATGCCTGAGGCAAGCATATAAATTCGCGCACGCGAGACTCAATGCGGAGCCCGGACGTCCCTTGTTCGATGTGCATTTGGGTTGCGCGATCTTGGTCGAGCAAAGCATCGCCAATCAACACCAAGAGGTGGCACCGAGGAAACATCGAGCAGCGGTTTAGAGTTCGTCACCGGCGTTGCTAGGAAAAGTTGGATCTGTTGGGAGCTTACCCCGCTATTACCCCTCTCTGGTTAAGCTATATGTTGGGTTGACCGTCCGCCGACGCCCTCTTCTTCAATTGTCCACCGACATCCATTCGGAAAGCTCGAATCTGCACCAGTCAGAGTTTACTTGCCGGTACGATCGTGCTGCAAGGAGCAATGGCGCCTCTCGCAATGTCATTATTCGTCGATCAAGGTAACTCTTGCAAAGAACGCATGCCGGGTGTTCGACTTGGGCTGCCGCGGCCAGTCCTCGATCAAGTTCCAATTGCTTGCGAGGTCTGGTGGTGGAGGCCAAGTTGTTCTGAGAAAATACCGGTTGAACTTGAGACTGGATAATGCCAGCGAAAGGACATGCTTCTTTTCTCCCTTTGCCTTGAGGAGTTGACGCATTGACAAAGGCAGTTTTTCCATCTTGATCCATCGCCATCATGTCGACTGACAAGATCACCTTCCTCACCAACTGGTAGGCTGGTTGACTGGCTGATCAGATGGAGTGAGCTGACTGAGTGCAGGCACGCGACCCCGTACCACGCCCCTCTGTACCTGGCGCAGGCCAAGGGCTACTTCAAGGACGAAGGCATCAAGGTGGCTCTTCTTGAGCCCAACGACCCCAGCGTATGTATTCACAGCATCATGGCAGAATGGTGGCTGACCTCTCCAGGATGTCACCGAAATCGTTGGCACCGGCAAAGTCGACTTGGGCTTCAAAGCCATGATCCACACGCTCGCTGCCAAGGCACGCGGATTCCCCGTCCAGTCGCTAGGCTCGCTCCTCGACGAGCCCTTTACGGGTGTTGTATACCTCAAGTCAAGCGGCATCACGACCGACTTCCGCACGCTCAAAGGCAAGCGTATTGGCTACGTGGGCGAGTTCGGCAAGATCCAGATCGACGAGTTGACGGCGCACTACGGCATGTCGCCCTCGGACTACACAGCGGTGCGGTGCGGGATGAATGTGACCAAGGCAATCATCGATGGCACGATTGACGCGGGCATCGGGCTCGAAAACGTGCAAATGGTGGAGCTGGCAGCGTGGCTGGAGTCGCAGGGCCGGCCGGCCGACGACGTGCAGATGCTGCGCATCGACGAACTCGCCGAGCTGGGCTGCTGCTGCTTCTGTTCGATCCTGTACATTGGCAACGACTCGTTCATCAACGCGCACCCGGACAAGGTGCGGGCGTTCATGCGGGCTTGCAAGCGGGCGACGGACTTCGTGCTGGCCGAGCCGCAGAAGGCGTGGGCCGAGTACGTCGACTTCAAGCCCGTCATGGGCACGGAGCTAAACCGCAAGATCTTCGAGCGCAGCTTCGCCTACTTTAGCAAGGACCTCAAGAACGTCAAGAGGGACTGGGAGAAGGTGACGCGGTACGGCAAGCGGCTCGGCGTGCTAAGCCCGGACTTTGCGCCCAACTACACCAACAACTACCTGGACTGGCAGCTCACGGGCGAGTCGAGCGACCCCGTGGGCGACCAGAAGAAGATGGCGCAGCTGCAAAAGGACGTTGCGGCGCAGGGCGGATTCCACAGGCTGGGCGAGGCTGTCAAGGGCACGGCGGTCCAGGGTTAAAAAAGTGTAGACAGGATGCTTGCTGGCAGAGCTGTCGAGGCTGGATTGCGTGAATGTCTCTTGATCACATTCGTTTGTTCGTTGTTATTCTAAGGCTCTGCTCCAGCGTAGAATCGAGTTCATGTTTCATGTCGATGGACCTCGGAGCATCAGCCTTGCGTGACGTGGTGGAGCTGGTGATTCGGGTAGACCCGCCTGTTTTGTTTCGGTCGCTTGTCGGGTCGGGCGCCTCGTCTTTTGCCGTTGCTCTCGCGCAGTCAACGTCTTCCTTCGATCGCCAGAATCGCAGCCTTTGATGGACCTCAGCATTCCCTTTGTTCTGCTGACCATGAGCTGAAAGCCATCGATGCCCATGCTCCTGTTGTACCGCTATCTCAAGGCTGCGCGACCCTTGCCGCGCAGCGGACTTGGCCTGACTCGTCTTGTTGTCGCAATCCTCGCCAGTCTGCTTTGAGCGACGGGCCTCGCTCGATTGGCTTACGTCGGCGGCCGGCGAGCACGCGATTTTTTTCTGCTGCTGAGCTGGTGTCCCTTTCGCGCCGCATTACGAATTATTCCTTCCCTTTCACTCCAGCAGACTCCATGGACCGATGATTCAGACAGCATAGCATCGCATCGCATTGTGAGCCTTGCGCCGCTCGTTACTCGCTGCTTTTCTTTTTCCCAGGTGCGAAGCCATGGCGTCTACTGCCGCCAACAAGCATGGGTACGGGCTGGAGGTGTCTCGGGATGATTCGCCCGATGTCGAGCACCCGCGACGCGCTGACGGCGAGGGCGTCGTTACGGACGACCATGGTGGCGATTTTGTCACTGTCTATGAAGAGAGGGATCTATCAAGGGGACTGCATCAGAGGCACATCAGTTTGATTGCGCTGGCCGGTGCAATTGTAAGTTTATCGTGCTCATCAAAAAGGGGGGGCATCGGCAAAGATGAATGCAAAGCATGCAACACCAATCAAATTTCCCGCAATGCATTTCCATTCTGGTTTCTCCCGTCTCCCAGCATTTTCTGATATTCGCAGGGTACTGGCTTGTTCCTGGGTCTTGGAAGCTCGATTCAGACGGGTGGTCCCCTCGGCGCTCTGCTTGGCTACGCGACTGTCGGCTTGATTGTTTGCGCCGTGCAGTTTGCACTGGGAGAAGTTACGGCGCTTCTCCCCGTCACTGGTTCATTCGTTCGGCATGCGGAATTCCTGGTTGATCCTGCGCTGGGCTTTGCGATTGGGTAAGAAATCAATCAAATAAGTAGACAGCAGAGCTGACCAAACAGGTACAACATCGTCTACGGCAACTGGCTCTCCGTCCCTTCAGAAATCTCCGCCATATGCGTCCTCTTCGAGTACTGGACCGATGTCAATGCGTCCGTCTGGATCGTCCTGACCATTGTCGTCACCTTCATCATCGGCATCAGCCTGATCCGCATCTACGGCGAAGTTGAATTCTTCTTCGCCATCCTCAAGATCCTGCTCATCATCTTCCTCATCATCCTTGGGCTTGTCATCAACCTGGGCGGCGTCCCCGGCGTCCCGCGCATTGGCTTCCGCTACTGGAAGACGCCCGGTCCCTTTGTCGAGTACATCGCCACAGGTCGGTGGGGCCAGTTCCTGGGCTACTGGGCCGTCATGACGAATGCCGTCTTCTCATTCGCAGGTGTTGAGAGCGTCGCCATGGCGGCGGCCGAGACGCGCAATCCGCGCAGAGCCATTCCCAACGCCTGCAAACGCGTCTTTGCGCGGGTGTCGCTCTTCTACATCCTGGCCGTGCTGATTGTCGGCATGCTGGTTGCGAGCGACGACAAGCGACTCGACGACCAGTCCGGCACCGCAGCTCAAAGCCCCTTTGTCGTTGCGGCGAGCGCGGCCGGCATCAAGGCCATTCCCTCGGTCGTTAACGCTATCCTGATCACGTCGGCGTGGTCATCGTCGAACCAAGCGCTTCTCGCCGGCACCCGCGTGCTGTACAGTTTGGCGCTCAAGGGCCAGGCACCGCGGGTCCTGCTGCGCACCACATCCTGGGGCATCCCCTACGTGTGCGTGTTGATCCAAACCGCCTTCATGTTCCTCGCCTTCATGAGTCTGTCCAGCGGCGCGCTGACCGTGTTCTACTGGTTCGTCGACCTGGTGGCAGCCGGCGTCTTGATCAGCTGGATCACCATTTTGATCAACCACCAGCGTTTGATGATGGCCATGAAGAGGCAGATGCTGCCGCTGGAGCGCCTGCCGTGGCACAACAGCTGGACCGGTACGTCTCCTCCGCATATTTGTCTATTTCTCGCCAAAGCTGAATTGACGTGCTGTGCTCTAGTCTACTCAACCCCCGTCGCCCTCTTCTTCTGTGTCGTCATCCTCTTCACGGCCGGCTTCGCTGTCTTCACCAACGGCAATTGGTCGCCCAGCGGCTTCGTGTCGTCGTACCTGTAAGCCCTATTCTCATTCTCCCCACTAAATCTCACTTTCTGACATTGACCCTAGCGACATCCCTCTCGTGCTCGCTGCATATCTGTTGTGGAAATTTTTCAAGCGCACAAAAATCGTCGCGCTGTCTGATATCCCGCTGCGTGAGGCGCTGGAAGCGGTGGAGCGCTCGCCCGAAGCGCCTGAGCCGCAGCGAAAGGGGTGGAAGAAGTGGATTAATGTACTGTGGGATTGATTCCCTTTTTGTTTGTCTGTCGAATCGCGCCGTGTTGTGGGCAGTGTTTGGCGCAAGGAAATTGGAGCGTAAAGGACTGGACATGTTCTACTGCCCATCCACGAAGCCTCTTGAGACCCACCACCAAGAGTCCTTATCAATCGCTCCCATGACAAACGCTGAAGAACAAAGCCATAATGTTATCCCTCCATACACAAAGCGCGCGTCCGAGGCTTCATACTTGTGTGTGTGTGCCACGTCTCTACGTCCGTGCGCCCTCGGTCGGTGCGGCGTCGGCCAAAAAAGAAGAATCTCGCTCCATCACCTCAACACCGCGACCCACAACAGCAACTCCACGGAAGGAAAACAAAATTAAAACGAATCCCAGCATTCAAGCTTTCATTTTTGTTTTTTCTCCCCTGAATACGACTGGAAACCCGAGCTTTTGCACGTGTTTTGCCCCAAAATCCCCCCCTCGGCCCCTCAAAAGCTCACCGACCCATTGTCTAGTATTTCCGATCAACAAAAGCATGGGGGACAAAAGAACAAACTCATTCCGTCACGGGGAATTGAACCCCGGCCTTGTCGGCGCTTGCAGAGCTTTTCACTCGTGCTGAGAGCGACAAATCCTAGCCACTAGACCATAACGGACGTTGATATAGGACTTACGGGGAATATGTCTTACTTAGATAATAACTTAAAGTCGCGCGTGAGAGTGATGAAGAGAATTCAAGATTGAATGATTGATTGATTAAGGGAATTCAAGCAGAGAGTTGCATGGTTGATGGCGGCGAAGTGGTGGTAGTGGTTGGATGGAAATTGTCCCATGTGTTGGTGTCAGCGGAGGACATGACGACACTGGTATTTTTTGCTCCCAGCTTGCGTACAAAAGCCTCGTCGGCCCCTCCTCTCACGTCAATCTTCTCTTAATGACCACGGAATCACCTCGTTTCTGAGGAAAACCAGAGCAACATTTCTTTCACTTTCGGTGCGGTTACGCCGTCCACATACTTTCAATTGCCGCGCCGCGTCGCCATTTTGGCAGACCTGCCGACCGGGATCTTCCACTGAGTTCTAGAGGTACTTGACTTTGTTTGCAGAGAGCAGTGCGTCGCAGCGTCATTTCGCAATGTTGTTCGCAAGCACCTTTCGTCCGCAATCGATCCTGTTGAAATGGCCCGAAGGCAGGACACCAAATGGCAATTTTTCCCCAGGCGAAGCGAAGCAGTGAGTAATTGGCCGTCAGGCATGCGCCTGAGGCAATGCTGTCGTTGTGAACTCTGAAGAAACCGCAGGAGGGCTGGAATTTATAGACGTCGAGACAGCGTTGGCAGCACGGAAAAGATGCGTGTGGCCAGTTCGCCACAACGTCAGCACTGCAAAGCGAGTTCGAAGCGCGAGGTTCGCGCTCTTTTACTGCCCGTCTTTTTTTGGGCGCTGCGCTCTCAGCCTCTCTCGCATCACGACGAATGGGCGAGTCTGAAAGATTTTGGAGTCTCTATACTCCAGCCCAGCGGCCGGAGCCTTCACGCGACAGTGACCGTTGACACGTGGGCCGCGGGAGTCACTTGCTGCTGAAGACGTGTATAAAAACCTCCCACTTCGCCGTCTCCTCCTCCTTCCACACCAGAAGCCCATGAGTTTGGGCGGATGAACGAGACGACGATGAACTTTTACACAACCTCTACTTTGTCTGTTCGTCTTGCGTCGGCAGTCATTCTACCTTGCCTTCTCCCTCAGTGCGAAAGGAAATGAGGAGTCAGGTCCAAAGAAGCGTAGAGCAATTTTGAAGCACGTCACTGATCCTGCATGAAGATCATCAGCATACCACGAGCATTCGTGCAGCGTCCTTATCCGCAGCGTTCTGAAATCAAACTCCATCCGCACCGCGCGCGAAAAGTAGAAAATGTATAAAGCAAGGCCACCGGACCAAGCACAATACGTGTAAGTCAAACCTGTTTTTGCTCCAAGACACGCCGTTCAGGGCCGCAAGGGATGGTTGTTGAACCACGGAACCATCGTACTCCACGACTCTTTCATATTCTGATTGAGCGGCCCAAGCGGCGGATACGGCACCTGCCAAATTAGCAGACCCTGAAATGCTCGTGTCACTGGCGCATGGTCCAGCACAGCACGCAGTCAGCATGTGAACGAGCCAGAGATAGCGCATCTGACAGCGTCCTAGCGAGGAGGAAGAGTATAAAAAGAGTCTTCGCCCAAGGTTTCTGAGTAGCTCCAACAGCCGCCGACGGCCAATACCAGCCAATCATCCAACTTCCAGCCGTTGTGCGCCGGGCGTCCTGGAAAGAGGTCAACCCTTCGCTCTTCTCCGCAGGTCTCGCAACATGCCTTCAGGATACCAGGCAGCATTGACGTGTAGCGCAGAGCAGCAGCACCAGAACTCGATGATAGCGTTAGACACGCAGGCTAAACCTCCTGCTCCCCGCACAACTCCACCAAAAGCAGAGCAGCGGAGGAGGTCCGCAATCTTTTTTTCCTCACATGCGCGCCACCAACAGCCAGGACAGTAGACACGTGGACGCTCCAGAAGCAGCAACAGCGCACCTTGCCATCTCTCCCGTGTCAAAGAGGTATAAATTCCCTTCACCCGACACTTCTCTTCAGTAAACATAAGCTGAGCCGTGCAGACGACAGGATTCAACCAGAGCGAGGTCGCACTGGAACGTGGCCAATTCACTTTCCGCGTGTGTGGCGGGTCAGCTTGGGGGTTTTGGAAGACGATAGAGTGTAGTGGTAGGCGGCGAGCGTCGCATTCTTTCTTGAACGTGTCCGTCGGTGTTGGCTCGTAGTGGAGCGAGACAGCATCATCGAGCTGCGTCGCTTGAGGTACTTGGCCACTCCTAATTCTGATAATCGAAAAGGTGCTGTGACATTTTCATCAGTGAAAAAGTGGCCGATGAAGCTCTATGTATATACATGTTTTTCGGTGAAGTACACCAGCCCCATCTTTCCAATTCGTGAGACCTCTTGATGCACATGCGCGCCACGCTATGCAGCCATGCGTCTATCTCTACTTTGATTTCTTGTCTTTCTCTTCCTTGGTCGGCGGCTTGTATCCGCCATTCCACAAGACACTGATCTTGGGGAAAAACCGGCCAACCTGCTCCTGATACACGGGATACTCATCGTACTTGCCGGCAGTCAGCAGCTCAGTGAGCCACGTGCTACCTTGGAACAGCATCAAATACGACAAAGCGCCCAACCCCGACCAGTTGTACACCGTCTGCGTGTGGAAGCAGCCCCATTGGTATAGGAGGACCCAGATGGCCTGCTCGGCGAGGAAGTTGGGGTGGCGACTGATGGACCACAGGCCATGCGTGTTGAAGCCGCGACCAAAGTCTGCGCGAGTGTAGGGGCTGTTTGGAGGCATGGTGCCGGTGCGGATGTATGCGTGTTTGGCGTTTTGGTAGTCTGGGCGGTCAGATGGGATGCAGAGGGCAGTGCGCAGGACTTACTCCATTGTTGCTGGTCGGCAAACCACTCGAGTACAACGAGACCGATGAGAACGCGCGAAAAGATCAGGTCGGGCAGAGCCATGCCCTGGCCAGTGAGGGAGGAGCCGAGGAGGAGGACATAGGCAGGAGTGGTGACGAGGAAAAGCAAGACCTGGAACGTCAGCGGAGTTGATGGATGCGGACAGAGAACATACACTTTGAATGGTCGAGATAAAGGTAACATTGAAGAGGAAAAATATTACTGGATGGACGTATTTCTTGATCACTTCCCAGCGGTAGTCTTCAGAGCCAATGCTGTATCCGCCTCTACGCCAGTAATTAAAGGTCAAACGAATCTGCAGTCGTGAGCGCAGGCGCGGAGAAGAGTCCGAGAAGTCTTACGCTCCAAAGACAACTAAATGCAAAGACATTGTCAATCAGCTGCGTCGGCACCCCCGACAGATGCGCCCACAGCGTGTAGTTGGCAACGTGGATTGTGGGGAGCAAGCTCCACATGCGATCGACCTGGGAGTAGTTTCTGTTGATCTCGGAGACGACCAAAAAGATGGGCGCGAGGGCGAGCGATAGGGCAAAGCCTGTCACTAGAGGGCTGGTGGAGAGATAGATGGTCTTGAGCGCGTCGAGGTCGGTAATGTTGTCGAGGACCTGTCGCGGCAGAGCCTGCAATTGGGGGAGCAAGGGCTCGACAGTCTTGTAAAAGTCGGCGCAGTCATTGAGCGTCTTGACGGCCGGTAGCGCCATGTTGGCCGCGACGAGAGGCATGGCGGGAGATGGAAGAGGGAGGGGAGTTGGAGGTGAAGAGAGAGAAAGACGAAGGGCGGTTGGCATGGATCACGTCACTACCTCGCGAGCCGAGATGATCGGCGCCAGGGTCCCCAGGAACCAGGTCGCGACGGGAATCGACTCGACAAACGCGGCAACCGCTGTCAATGCTCTCGACGCGTCTCCGCCCTCACCCTCTGCCTCTCGCGTCCGCCTTGCAGAGACGGCTCGCCACCGCCCATGGATCACCCCGCCGAAAGATGCCTCGAATTCTATGCGTGGCTGAGAAGCCGTCCATAGCTAAGGCCGTTGCCGAACACCTTTCTGGTGGTCAAATGCGCGCAGTAAGTTTTTTCAAAGCAAATGAATTCCACTCCAAGCTGACTCGACCAGGTCAAAGCCCGAAACACCCAATTCACCTGGAACTATGAATTCACCTACGATTTCGGTCCTCGATGGGGCCACTGCAACGTCGTCATGACCTCGGTCGTCGGACACTTGAAGGGGCTGGAATTTCAGCAACCCAACCATAAAACCTGGACCGGCTGCGAGCCCGTGGCCCTCTTTGACGCACAAGTCGCCCAGGAAGTATACAAGGACAAGAAGTGGATCGCAAAAAACATTGAAGACCAGGCAAAGTATTGCAAGGCGCTGTACATTTGGACCGATTGCGATCGCGAGGGAGAACACATAGGCACCGAGATTCGCGTCGAGGCGCTCAAGGGCAACACTAGGATTGAAATTAAGAGGGCGAGATTCAGCAACATCGAGAGGGCGCACGTCCTTGCCGCAGCACGGCGCCCTGTCGACCTGGACGAGAGACAGGCGCAAGCCGTCGAGGCTCGCATGGAGCTGGACCTTCGCATTGGCGCCGCCTTTACCCGCTTGCAGACTATGCATCTGCGACCGGTCATTGCTCGCGTCCATGGGGACAAGGAAATCATCAGCTACGGGTCCTGCCAGTTTCCCACGCTCGGGTTCGTTGTGGAGAGATATTTCCGCGTCAGGAACTTTGTGCCGGAGCCATTCTGGAACATCAAAGTGTCTCACGTCAAGGACGGCATCAAGGTCAACTTCAATTGGAAGCGGGGCCACTTGTTTGACCGCATGGCCGTCACCGTCATTTATGAGCGGTGCTTGAGCGCGAGATTGGTCAAAGTTACTAAGATGCAAAAGAAACCAACGAGCAAGTGGAAGCCTCTGCCCCTGACAACGGTCGAGCTTCAAAAGATGGGCAGCCGGTTCCTCCGCATGGACAGTCAGGCCGTTATGTTGGCAGCCGAGTCTCTGTATCAAAGGGGATGGATCAGCTATCCCCGTACCGAGACGGATCAATTTGACAGGGCCATAGACCTCAAAAAGATTATTGAGAAACAACAGCCGGATGCAGACTGGGGTGGCTTTGCGCAGCAT